TGTTATGAGACTATTGTTCACGATATGGTGAGGGTGAGTTAGAGAGATCACAATATGGTGTGAGGATGAGCTAGAGAGAGAATAAACTTCACGTTCAAATTGAATGACTTTGACAAAGCAACTTGGGGGATATATAATACTAGCCTTCAAGTGCAAAATGCATTTTTTGAATCATGGAGTGTTATGCGCGATTTACACATTTTAAATGTGTTTATATGCGTGAATTGCTTCAATATTTGTTTTATGACAAAAAAGTCAAATACTTGGACTAAATGAATAATATTAGACCATACTAAAAGAAACCCCTCATAAACCAAGCAAAGCAGCTGGATCCATATAATAAAATAGGTCTTTCAATTTCTATTTACATTCTATTGAATTCACATTAAAAATAGAGAAAAAAATATTTAACAAACAACTGATTGAATCACATTATTGTGCACGTGCGAAATGTATTATTTTTTATCACCTCTTAAAATGTTTTGAACATGTTTGAAAATAGAGAAAATAATATTTAATAAATAACTGATTGAATCACATTATTGTTTGTCCATTGTGGTACTAATTATTAAAAAAAATAGAGACAACTGATTGAATCACATCATTGTGCATGTGCGAAAGACCTTTTTTTTATCACTAATGCTACACGCCTTTTAAGATGTTTTGAATGTGTTTAAAAATAGAGAAAATAATATTTAATAAACAATTGATTGAATCACATTATTGTGCTCATGTGAAAGCCCTTTTTTTTATTACTGGTGCTACTCGCCTCTTAAGATATTTTGAACGTGTTTAAAAATTAGAGAAATAATATTTAATAAACAACTGATTGAATCACATTATTATTAGCTAATTGTGAGGTACTACCGTACTAATTAATTAATTTTTAAAAAAAAAAAACACTGTTTACATGATGAAATTACCCTTGCATTATTTGATGCATTATTTTGGGCGACTTTTGAACTTTTTTGTTTGGATGGCATTTTTGTCCTTTTTTTTTGGTGAAACCGGTGACTCAAATGGGCTTCCGACTATATATTAGTATATATATGTACATATATGCAAGGGTATTTATTAATAATAGTCAAAATTTAACATTCACTTTCATAAATGTCATTTTTTATATAATATTTCAAATGTAGCAGAAAAACCACTTAAATAGACTTAAATACCCTCAAAATTAAAACCAAATAACAAAACCCTATTAAATCATAATTTATGAAAAATGAGAGACCTATTAAAGTTGTTAAGATCTCCTAGCTGATAGGGTTAGGTTTTCCTTGTTTCCAGGTCGTAGTGGTTTGAAGCCATGCATAATAATCCCTAGTCTTAAGGGACATGTTATCTTCTGTTTTGGACTTAGTCTTTCTCCACGATTCTAGGGCTGTAAAGTCATGGTTGTTACTTCCCATTCAGTTTGTTTTCAAGGCTATTTAATAGCCATGATTGTTTTCTAATTGAATAAGAAATATTCTCCCTGCATATTGAAGTTGTCGTGCTTTTGTTCTTGTCAAGCTCTTTGCCATTACACCTGGTTTTAACATCTGGTATCAGAGCCCCATCACGGGGCCTGACCAACAGTTTGTACCATAGCAATTAGCAAGAAGGAGTAACATGACAAGTGAGAGTAGCTTTGTGCAGCCGGCTATCCCATGGTTTGATGGCCATTACGATCACTGGAGTATGCTTATGGAGAACTTTCTGCGTTCAAAGGAATACTGGAATTTGATAGAAACTGGGATCTCTGCAGTAGCATAAGGGACAGATCTCACTGAGGGACAGAAGAAGGTGATTGAGAACCAAAAGTTGAAGGATCTGAAGGCCAAGAACTATCTGTTCCAAGCCATTGATTGCTCCATTCTGGAGACTATACTGAAAAAGGATACAACGAAGGATATTTGGGATTCCTTGAAGCAGAAGTATCAAGGGACAGCACGAGTCAAGTGTGCTCAACTTCAAGCTTTTCGCAAAGAGTTTGAAGTGCTGCGCATGAAAGAAGAGGAATCGGTGAATGACTACTTTAGGAGAACTCTCACCACAGCCAATAAGATGAGAATTCATGGTGAAAGGATGGAAGATGTGGTGATTATTGAGAAGATCCTGCGATCCATGACTTCCAAGTACGACTATGTGGTATGTTCGATCGAGGAATCGAATGATTTGGATATCCTATCCATAGATGAGCTTCAAAGTAGTCTTTTGGTGCATGAACAACGGATCAGCCGCCACATTATGGAAGAACAAGCCCTTCAGATCACTCACGGCCCTCAGCAAGGAGGAAGAAGTAGTGGAAAACGTTCGTACCGAGGAAGAGGGAGAGGAAGGGGTGGGTTTGATAAATCTACCCTAGAATGTTACAATTGTCATGAGTTAGGCCATTTTCAGTGGGCATGTCCCAAAAGAGCAAGAGATACAAAGGCCAACTTTGTCGAGACCAGTGAAGAAATGCTTTTAATGGCGTATGTAGACGGCACTGATGCTGGAAGAGATTACCTGTGGTTTCTTGACTCGGGATGTAGCAATCACATGTGTGGGAAAAGAGAGTTGTTTTCAATGTTCGACAATAACTTCAGAGAAACAGTGAAGCTGGGTAATGATACGAGTCTTAATGTGCTAGGAAAGGGCAACATTCGCATGGAGATGAATGGGATTGTGCAGGTGATTACTGAAGTGTTCTTTGTACACGAGTTGAAGAACAACCTACTAAGCATCAGACAGTTTCAAGAGAAGGGTCTTGCAGTCATCATGCAACACAAAAAATGCAAGATCTACCATCCTGAAAGAGGTTTACTAATAGAGACCGAGATGACATGTAATAGAATGTTCGCCGTCATAGGTCGACGTCCATCAAAGGAGGAAAGTTGTTTCTCCACTATAACTGCAGATCAAACTCAACTCTGGCATCGTCGTTATGGTCATCTTAGTTGGACTAGTCTCAAGGTGATTCAATAAAAGAATATGGTGCATGGACTGCCTCAGTTGAAGGCTCCCTTGAATGTTTGTGAAGACTGCTTGATTGGAAAACAACATCGCGATCCTTTTCCAAAGGAAAGCGTATGAAGGGCATCCGGAGTGCTTCAGCTTGTGCATGCAGACATATGCGGGCTGATAAATCCAATATCGAATAGCAAAAAAAGGTATCTCATAACCTTTATCGATGACTTTAGCAGAAAAACTTGGGTTTATTTCTTGGTTGAAAAATCATAAGCATTTGCAAGCTTTAAGTCCTACAAAGCTAGGGTTGAGAAAGAAACTGGTGCATTCGTAAGGAATCTTCGAATTGATCGTGGAGGGGAGTTTACTTCACAAGAATTCACTCACTTATGTGATGAGAATGGTATTCAAAGGCAATTAACAGCTGCATATACACCTCAACAGAAAGGGGTCGCAGAGAGAAAGAATCGCACTGTCATGAATATGGTGCGCATCATGCTGTCAGAGAAACAAATTCCAAAGAAATTCTGGCCTGAGGCAGTAAACTGGACAGTGCACATTTTGAATAAAAGTCCAACACTTTCCGTAAGAAGCAAGACTCCCGAAGAAGCCTGGAGTGGACACAAGCCTTCAGTAAGTCACTTTAGGGTTTTTGGATGGATCGCCCATGTCCATATACCTGATAGCAAGAGAGTCAAGCTTGATGCCAAAAGTCTGAAATGTATACTACTTGGAGTAAGTGAAGAATCTAAAGCCTACAGATTATTTGATCCCGTTGCCAAAAAAATAATTGTAAGTCGAGACATGGTGTTTGAAGAAGACCAAAGGTGGAATTGGGATGACAGTCACAAGGAAACTATCTTGGCGGATCTAGAGTGGGAGGAAGAAGAAGAACAAGGTACAAATGAAAGTCTTGGCGAAGAAAGTGATGAACAAGAAAGCATGAGGTCAGTTCAAGGTGACTCATTCGAAGAAGAAGATTCTTCAATTGATGGGAACACTTTTCATGCTAGACGAAGTCGAAGACCACCAACGTGGATGCATGATTATGTAAGTGGTCAGGGCCTATCTGATGAAGAACACGACGATATGGCTCATCTAGCCCTATTTTCTGACAATGATCCATTGACGTACGAGGAAGCAGTAAAGAGTGACAAATGGAGACAGGCTATGAATGTAGAGATCAAAGCTATCGTGAAGAATAACACATGGGAACTCGTTGAACTTCCACCTAGAGTAAAAATGATCGGAGTCAAATGGGTTTTTAAAACGAAGCTCAATGAAAAAGGTGAAGTGGACAAATATAAGGCTCGACTTGTCGTGAAAGGGTATAGTTAAAAGTATGGAGTGGATTATGCCGAGGTGTTTGCACCAGTAGCTCGTTTGGATACCATTCGAGCAATTATCTCACTTGCTGCATGCAAGAGTTGGATCATCTACCAACTAAATCTGCATTTTTGCATGGAGAGATAGATGATGAAGTATTCGTGGATCAACCACCGGGCTATGAACAACAGGGACATGAAGCTAAGGTATATCGACTGAAGAAGGCGCTGTATGGGCTCAAACAAGCCCCTCGAGCTTGGTACAGTCGAATAGAAACTTACTTTGGTCGGGAAGGCTTTGAGAAGTGTCCTTATGAGCACACCTTGTTCATTAAAAGGGGCGATGGAGGTAAATTTTTGGTTGTGTGCCTTTATGTTGATGATCTTATATTCATTGGTAATGATGAGACCATGTTTGAAAGCTTTAAAAAATCCATGATGGATGAATTTGACATGACTGGTCATGGAAAGATGAGGTATTTCCTTGGGATTGAAGTTTTGCAAAGAAGGGATGGTATCTTTATCAATCAGCGGAAGTATGCTCAGGAGGTTTTGGAGAGGTTCAGTATGGATCAGTGCAATCCGATGCATAATCCGATTGTTCCTAGTTCCAAATTAACCAGGGATGAAAACTGAGTAAGAGTTGATGAGACATTCTACAAACAAATAGTAGGAAGCCTCATGTATTTGGCTGCCACTCGTCCTGATTTAATGTTTGTCGTGAGTTTGGTCAGCAAATATATGGAACGACTTACAGAAACACATCTACAAACAGCGAAAAGGGTACTACGGTATGTGAAGGGTACAATTAGTTTTGGAGTGTTCTACAAAAAGGGAGGAACTGAAGAACTCGTTGGCTACACATATAGCGATTATGTCGGTGATCAGAACGATAGAAAGAGCATATCTGGGTATGTTTTTACTCTGAGTTCAGGAGCAATTTCTTGGTCTTCAAAGAAACAACCAGTAGTCACTTTCTCAACTACCGAGGCTGAATTCATCGCAGCATCTAGTGCTTGTCAAGCTGTGCAGTTAAGAAGAATCTTGGAGCAGCTTAATCATGGTCAATACAAACCAACGGTGATTCATTGCGATAATGTTTCAGCAATTAAATTGTCAAAGAATCCAATCATGCATGGTCGGAGCAAACATATTGACGTACGATTTCATTTTCTTCGAAATATCGTCAAAGATGAAGTTGTTGAATTAGTGCAATGTTCAACTCAGGAGCAAGTTGAATTAGTGCAATGTTCAACTCAGGAGCAAATTGCAGATATCCTGACAAAACCACTAAGGCTCGAAGTGTTCGTGAAGATGCGTGATCTCATGGGTATCTGCGAATGTCCAGGGGTAAACTGAATGTTGATAGAATTCAGTTTAAGGGAGGATGTTAAAGTTGTTAAGATCTCCTAGCTGATAGGGTTAGGTTTTCCTTGTTTCTAGGTCGTAGTGGTTTGAAGCCATGCATAATAATCCCTAGTTTTAAGGGACATGTTATCTTCTGTTTTGGACTTAGTCTTTCTCCACGATTCTAGGGCTGTAAAGTCGTGGTTGTTATTTCCCATTCAGTTTGTTTTCAAGGCTATTTAATAGCCATGATTGTTTTCTAATTGAATAAGAAATATTCTCCCTGCATATTAAAGTTATCGTGTTTTTGTTCCTGTCAAGCTCTTTGCCATTACACCTGGTTTTAACAAGACCACTATGTCATAATGTTCCCAGCCAATATTCATGAAATCAAGGATCTTAGAATAACAGAAATCTTGAAGGCGACTGACAATTTCAATCATGCAAAGATGTTTCAGGTTCTTGCTGTCTATGATGTATGCTTCAGGTTCTTTCTGCTAAATCAGCAGATAGAGAAAAAGGAGAGGGAAGAGGAGAGGGTGTAGGGATTGGGAATGGGAAGGAGCACAATGGGCCTCTATGTATTGTGGGAAGAAGGAAAAGTACAAGTACCCAAAAATTAGCATGGACGCAAAATTTTGTTTATAGTTTGTTAATTATTTTTGAATATTTCGAATTATTTCTCTTTTTGAGGGGCTGAAAATGGTTGAGAAAAAAACAGAGCCATGTGGGTGTTCCCGGCTGTTTGGCTCCCCTTACGGCTAATAAGGTAAGGATAGAAAACGCAGTTGGCTAACAGACAAAAAGTGAAAGGGCAAATATCTAAAAGGGGGATAGCAGAACAGACAGAGGAATTTTCGTAAAAAAGAGACTATGTCGCTCGAGCGAAGCGAGAGGTTAAGAGGTATAGAGGGGGCAATGATAGGTAAATTAGGTTAATCCCTCTCACCAAGACTAGTTGTCTTAGAAGGAGTTGCAACCTAAAGGGTTATTCCTGATCTTTCCTGTTTTGAAATCTATTCCTAAGAAAGGAAAGGAAGATGTTAATTTGTGATTGAGCAGGTGTGGAATGGAAGGGCTTTGAAGAAGAGATGCTTCAGGTTCTTGCTGTTTAGGATGTTTGCTTGATTGAAATTGTTAGTAGCCTTCAAGATTTCAGTTATACTAAGAAGATCTTTGATTTCATTGGTATTGGCTGAGAACACCATGACATAGTGGTCTCTCATTTTTCCTAAATTCTTATCTAATAGGTTTTGTTATTTGGTTTAATTTTGAGAGTATTTAGGTCTATTGAAGTGGTTTTTATGCTATTTTTGAAACATTTTATAAAAAAAAATGACATTTATGAAATTGAATGTTAAATTTTGGCTATTATTGATAAATACTTTGCAAGGGTATATGCAAACACCTTTTCTGGAGAAGTGTTCATTAGGGAAAGTTACAGCTTCTCCCAATGGATATAATGTTTTTAATATATCCTATCGATCATGTTCTTTTAGAATTAATTATTAACTTATTTCAGTATAATTATGTGTATGTCATTACATCAATATTATGGTATACCTACACACATAATTACACAAATTATAAAAATCATATTATCATAATCATATTCCAACATAAATACAAACTTTTGTGGTCATATTGGATTAAAAAAGCACTTATTTGCTAGGACTTGGATTAAAGTCGTCAACAAGAGATTGACGCAAGTTGGTTGGTATAATCTTGAGAAGCAAGAGCCCTTGCATATAAGAAACTTTTTCAGTACGTCCATCATCCTAGAAGAAGTAATTCTCGTTTAGAAGAAGTAAATATCCAGATAGACAACTAAGATTAATATGTAAGCACGGATTACCACAAAAATATTAAAAAAATAAAGCTTCGTGCAAATGTAGAAGATGTAGGATTCTCTCCCCTATTTTTTCCCCTTCCTTTCCCTCACCTTTTATTTGAACGGTCACAGTTAAATCATGTCAACATCTTATATTAATTTTTTTTATAGAAAGAGAGAGACAAAATAAAGAATATGAGAGAAGGGGATGGAAAATGATGGAAAAAAAAGGGAGAGAATCCTAGTCCAATGTAGAAAGCGGACAAGGTTAAACATGTTGGATATATGTCAACAATCCGTAATAAAATAAATATGCTAATAATAAATATGAATAAATATATTCCAGAGACTCAACAAGATGAAATATTAATTAAGCAGAATAACAAAAGATCGAGGCTTGCGTACCGTAATGTCCTTGAAACAGAAATTTCGCCCCTACTCAATGCTTGTAGTTCTACTGACGTTTGCTTCACCAGGATTTAATGATCTAAGTCAAAAATTCCAGCACCGGAAAATTGACTTTTGGCGAATATTAATGTGGTTCTCTCAGAAAAGATGTTTATGATTGTAGGAGAAGATTTATGATTTTTCTGTGTTTTAAATGCCATGCAGATGGATGTATATATAATGTGATTATACCTGTTCGCAACAGGTATAAGGAAGGGATGCATATGTTGGGAGACATCTGCTAAAAAGGGTGTTTTTGTTACTCCAATCACTTTCTATAAAGGACAAAGCTTTATAAAGTGATAAAATCTTTTAGGAATGACCAATGTGGGACAAAGAAATTTCTACTCAAACTACTCAAATTTCCAACAAAAAATTCTTTACCTTTTCTACAAAAAAAAAAAAAAAGAAAAAAGAAAAAAAAAAGAAAAAGAAAAAAAAGAAGACATGGACTACATAATTTATCAGAAAAGTTGGCAACGTGAACAACTTAAAAAAAAAAAACTATAACCCCTAAACAATGCACGAAGAGGTTCTGGCATTAACTAGAATATTTTAATAAATTAATTTGACGTGGTTGGTACTAATAAAGGTGTTGAAATTAAAGTTGGCAGTGAAATTAATATAAGTTCACAAGTCATAGTAGCATGTCATATATACTCGAATTAGATAGAAATATTTGTGAAATAATCGTGATACACTTACGAAGTACCCATTTACCACTGATGGGCTTTCTTCCATTAGGTAGATCAACTAGTTCTCAAACTCTATTTTTCTTGATGGAATCTAGTTCTTTAGTATGATATATTTGGCATCGGAGATTCTTCGGCCAAAGTCCCCCTAATTCATCATGGACGCGTGAGGCTCTTGGCCTTGATCTTAGGTGTTAATTGTTTTGCAGGTGCATTTTCGTCCAAGAAGGAGAAGGCGGAAATTTGCATCCACAAATTAGTGCTTTCATTGAGAGTCTTGATTCACACGCTCGTAGAAGACTCTCGCATTCAAGGTTTCTAATTTTTTTTCATTCGTAGATTTTTCGTACTTTCCTATTTCTAGAATTTTTTATACAAACATTCTTTGAATAAACGTAAAAGAAAAGTATAATGACAAGAGATTCGGAAACCACGACGAATGGAAATTCCAATGTTAAAAAATTTGGACCACGGCGGTCCACGAAGCTTAACACGACGACGAGTGGAGTGGCACCACCCCCACGAGGCACCACCGTGGCAGCCACCATGATGGCCACCATGGCAGCAACCACCGTGGCCACCTTTGGTAGGCCCACAACTCATAGGAAGCAGCAAGCCCAGGTGCCAAGGGCAGCCCATGCCGCTGCCCCAGCATCGCAAGCCCAAGCTCAACGCACTGCCCAAGGCCCGCATGCCCAAGTAGTGCCAACCCAGCGCCCAGCGCCGCTTCACACCACACAGACCCAAGACCAAGGTGAGTCGACCCAAGCCTCGACCTGGCGTGAGCCTAACCCGCACTCGAGCCGAGCTTAGGCCTAGCATCCATGTGCGCTACACACGGGGCAGCTTACTTCCGTGAAGTCCCAAGTAGGCCAAACCGGTCCAAGAACAGTTTAACCATCTCAACTTTAGATTTCTGGGTTGACGATTGAACCGGGGGCATTCTCACCACATTTTTTCACGGATTTGATATTTCCTAACTCAAATTTCGCCCCCGGAGTCTACCACACTTTCATTACTCAATGAGACACATTCTGTCCAAGCTATTCCAACCCATATGGCGAATAACACTTGTCTCAACAAGTCATAGAGTTGACAAGCGCCCTCGCACAACAGACGACCTTGGTGAATCAGCTCTTGCAGCTCATCGAGGTGCAACGTGCCCCGGACGAGGTGTCCCGAAGTAGGACAAGGGTAGACAAAGAACCTCTCCAGTAGTGTCCTAGAAAGCAGCCACTCGACTAGCCATGAACCGAGCATTCCGGCAATGTACATTCCTGACTGGCCCTCTGAGATAGCGTATACTCCTGTCTTAGCACGCAAAGAAGCGTGCATTCTCGGTTAGGCCTACGGAATAGCATACACTAACGGTTAGGACCACACTCCAATAATCAACATGAGCAACCTTCTAGGCGAAGTTTTCATTCACGGCTAGGCTCGCAAGAAACATCCTTCACCTTACATCAGAGTAGGCAGCATGACGGACGAAGAGAAGCAGTCACTCAATCCGACTTAAGTTCAACTGGCAACCTACGAGGGATTCACTCGCTTGCTAGGGATATATCATGTGAACTACAGTCGGGGTATAGATGAGCCGAACTTATAAATGAGCAACCTAGATCAGCAGGTCAAGACCGGGGGCAACCGAAACCTCCGCTACCCCAACAAAGGAAAATTCAAGAAGAAGTAGAAATGCTATTGATTGAGCGATTGCATGATTTCCAAAGCAACGAGGTCACCGATGAGGCATTACGATGAGACATGACCAACATGAGCAGGTCACCCATCACGGATGAGATCGAGTAGGCAAAACCTTCACGCAATAACATGCCACTTTCACATCCTTTAAAGGAGATGAAGATCTGGAGAGACACTTAAAACACTACCGAAGCATGATGGTCCTTTATCGGAACAACGATGCCCATATGTGAAAGATATTTGCCACCACTTTGCAAGGAAAGGCGCATGATTGGTTCCACACCCTACCTCCATGATCCATCCGGAATTTTAAGCTTTCCTTGGTTTTCACCAAAGAATACCCATCTTACTGCTCGATAAAAAAAGTCCGACCATTTGTTCAATGTCAAGAAGAATCTAGAGGAGTTGCCCTGCGACTATGTGAAGAGGTTCAAAGTAAAGAAGAGGAAGACAGTCAGATGTGACGACTTGATAGCAAGTGCAGCCTTCCAAAAAGGACTCACAGCAGACCACCCGCTGTTTGGAGAATTAATTATGAAAGAAGATCTAACTCTAGCACACTCTTTCACTCTAGCAGAAAATCATGCACTTTGGGTTAAGGCTCGGCGAGCAGGCAAGGCACACGAGAAGCCTAGAAAAAAGTCGGCAGTAGCTAAAAAAAAAAAGGAGGACGGAAAACAGTACAATAACAAAAGCAGGCAGGGGGCTAAGTGTAGGGACCGATCCCCAATTAAAGGAGGCCTAACGCCCAAGAACTACTCAAAGTTCTCGATCCCGATCCACCAAATCTTTCGCAACATCAAAAGCGAACCATGGTTCAAACTGCCGAAACAATCGAAGGGAGATACTTCCAAGATGGACCACACCAAGTATTGCGTATTCCACCGAAGTCCCGGTCACACAATTGACGACTACTACACTGAGAATAATTACCTAGAGAAACTCATGAAGGAAGGCAAGGTTGACAGATACTTGGACAAGCCAGCTGCGCAACCTAGAAGGAACGCAGATGCTGATGAATAGCCACCCAACAAGACGATTCAGATTAATGGCATCTTCACCGAATCTGAAACACTTGGGGGCCAACAACAATTCTAAGAAGAGGAAGATCCATCATGCTTTATTAGTTTCACAAGTCTAGGCAATCAAAACACAACCTGGACTCATTATTGATTTCACCGAGCAGGATGCTGAAGATGTCGATTTCCTTCATGACGATGCACTGGTGGTATCTGTCCAACTAGCCCACACCATAGTTGACAAAATGATGGCTGATAACAGAAGTGCAGTCAACGTACTTCAGCTCTCAGTAATTCAAAAGATGGGCCTGGAAATCACAATCATACGCCGAGCGGAGGTACTCACCGGATTCAACGGACACACCTCAACTGTCATCGGCTATATCATACTTGATGTGAAAACACCGCCAGTTGTCTTAAAGTAGACGTTCACGATAGTAAGCGACCCGTCTCCCTATAATGGGATTCTAGAGCGACCTTGGTTGATAAAGTTGGAAGCCGTCACTTCTGTCAAGTATCAAAAAAATCTGATTCCGCATATGGGGATGAAGAGTTGGAGAAATCAAGTCTGACCAGGCTACATCTCGACAATGCACTGTACAATTACTAAAGGCATAAAAAAAGAAGACCTTTACCCCCCGTAGAGGTTACCGAGGTTCAAGGGAATGAAGAAGTTACCAAATAGCAATTACAGCAAGTGGATCAAGAAAATGGCATCCAAACCAACGTGCCAGCATACGAGACAGGATGGAAACCCAAGGAGAAGCCGAGCACATAATTCTTAATCCTCAACAGCCAAAGAAGACCGCAAAAGTTAGCTCACGTCTGAGCTCGAAGGAAAAGGAAGAACTTATGGTTCTTCCTTAGGGAAAATCGTGACATCTTTGCGTGGTCACCTTCCGACATACCCGACATTGATCCCAAGATAGCTTGCCACAAGCTGCACGTTGACCTTGCTGCCAAACTGGTGATCCAAAAAAGAAGACATTTCGCACCTGAGCAAGTAGCGATCATTGAAGCAGAAATTGACAAGCTATTGGAGGTCGGATTCATAGAAGAAGTAGCACACTCAGCATGGCTTGCCAACATTATGCTAGTAAAGAAGAAAGAGAAAGGAAAATGGAGGGTTTGCGTAGACTACACTAACCTTAACAAAGCATGCCCAAATGATCCTTATCCACTTCCCCGAATTGATCTATTAGTAGATTCAACTTCTGGGAACCAGCTGCGTAGCTTCTTGGACGCATACTCCGGCTACAACCAAATAGTCATGTATGAGCCCAATAAGGAGAAAACCGCGTTCGTGATTGAGCAAGGCACCTACTGCTACAAGGTTATGCCCTATGGCCTCAAGAATGCATGAGCCACTTACCAAAGATTGGTAAACATGATGTTCAAGAAGCAGATTGGAGTAACGATAGAGGTCTAGGTCAACGACATCATGGCAAAGGGTAAATAGCGGTCATACCACATCGGCATCTTAAAGGAAAGTTTCGACATCCTTAGAAAGTACAAGATGAAACTCAATCCTGCCAAATGCACATTTGGAGTATCTTCTGGCAGATTCTTAGGGTACCTAGTAACCCAACGAGGAATCGAAGCACATAACAAGCGAATCCGAGCGATCCTAAAGAAGAAATCTCCGACTACCTTGAAGGAATCAAAGCATATACCAAGCAAATCCGAGCTTTCCAAGACCTGAAGAAGTATTTTACATCACCTCCCTTACTGTCCAAGCCAGACGCAGCGGAGGATTTATATATTTACTTGGCAGTCTCGGAGGTAACAGTGAGCTCTACCTTTATACGAGAAGAGCTGGGGTCTCAACTGCCAGAATTTTACACTTCTAAAGCTCTTCTTGATGTGGAAATTAGATATCTAAAGATTGAGAAATTAATTTTGGCGTTAGTTGTTGTGGCTCGGAAGCTTAAACCATATTTTCAAGCTCATGTACTTGTTGTCATGACTTAATATCCTCTATAATCAATCCTATATGGTTCAGATGCTTCTTAATGAGTAATGAAATGGGCGTTGAAACTTGGCCAATATGGCTTAGTTTTCCGAACCCGCACGCCCATAAAGGCCCAAGCCGTGGTGGACTTCATAGCAGAATTCACGCCTAGCTTAAGCAACGCAACAAAGTGACCTAACAACACCCTGGAGGTAGCCGAACACGCCCTAACCGTGCCTGCTCCACCCGAATGAGACTTCTGGCATTTGCATGTTGACGGTGCATCTAACTACAAAGGCTTGGGAGTAGGCGTGGTCCTTGTTACCCTAGACGGTTCGATACTCGAGCAAGCAATCACTTTAGGCTTCCAAGCATCCAATAATGAAGCGGAGTACGAAGCCCTACTAGCAGGCATCCGAATGGAAAAAGACTTCGCGATGAAAAAGCTAGCAATTCATTATGATTCTCAGCTAATCACTAGCTAGACTATTGGGGAGTACACGGTAAAACATCCAAGGAAGGCACAATACCTAGAGAAGGTAAGCATTTCAGACTTACACCCTCACTCAAGTTCCGCGAGCAGACAATGCCCATGTGGATGCGCTAGCTGGCCTAGGCTTCGCCCTCGACCACCAACTTAAATGCTCTATACCGGTGAAGTAGCTAGACAAGCCAAGCATAGAGGCGAAGCTAGCAACTGAGTTATCACAGGTTAGTACAACTCCAAACTGGCAAAGTTCCATTATAGACTACTTGGTCAATGGCACACTCCCCATATAAAGGTTGAAGTCTAGAAAGATCCAAATAAAGGCAGCATGCAACTACATATGGAACGACATTCTCATCCGAAGATCCTACACTGGACCACATCTCCACTGCCTTGTGCCTCCCGATGACCTAAAGGTTCTGAGCTCAATCCATGAAGGCGTTTGTGAAAATCACTCCAAAGGCTAGTCCTTAGCACAAAATGCTCTTAACGTGGGCTACTGTTAGCCTACCATGCATCAAAATGCTAAGGAATTAGTACAAAAGTGCAACCGCTGCCAACGTTACAAGTCAGTACTAGCACTGCCTGCTAACAAACTACACCCACAGACGAGTCCTTGGTCGTTCATGCAGTGGTCGATCAACTTGGTAGGGCTAATGTCGTCCGCTACTGGGGGTAGAGGCATGATGATCGTGGCAACCAATTACTTCACCAAATGGGTAGAAATAAAGCCCATGACAACCACAACTTAGACGAATATAGAGCGCTTCATATGGAGGAACATCATTTGCCGATTTGGCATCCCTCAATCTATCGTCACAGATTACGGCATGTAATTTGTAGGTAAAGATTTGGCAAAGTTCTTCCAAAAATATGGCATCAAGCAGCACATGTCCATGCCAAGGTATCCCAAGGCAATAGGCAGACAGAAGCATCTAATAAGACGATCCTTGATTGCCTCAAGAAATCCCTCTCCGACAAGAAGGGAAAATGGCCAGACGAACTTCCTGGATGTCTATGGGTGTATCGCATAACCAAACGATAAGCAATTGGTGAGACTCATTTCTCTTTGGCATTTGGTTCAAAAGTAATCATTTCTCCCAATGTCATCATGCCAAGTATCAACAGTCTACTGCCAAGCATCGAGCATAATGGCAAGGAGATGACCATAAATCTAGATCTGGTAGAGGGAACGCGAGAAGGTCATCACCCGTTTTGTAGCCTATCAACAACAACTCTTCTCTAGCGATAACAAAAGGGCCAAGCTAAGGAAGTACCATGTGTGATCCCATATGGCTTCATCACTGTCCGCAGAGAAGGCTTCAAGAAGATGGATCCCATATGGAAAGGTCCGTACAAGATCAGCACAGTGGGCGGCAAGGGTAGTTACACCTTTGCCACCATGAACAACAAAGAGATCGAAAAGCAGTGGAACACCTACAATATGAAGAAGTACCATATGTGATCTCATTCTACATCTAGGCTTAAAGGATCAAGCAGCTCAACGAGCACCACATCGCAAGTCGAGGATTATCCAGTTGTTATGCAGTTTCTACTTTACAGATAAGTTTTCATTTGTTTCACTCATTTTTCAATGAGGAATTCATAAGTAATTTACAACTTGGCTCGACTACATGTTTACAACAACTAATCACTCATGCACTTCAAAAGAATATCGTGCTCTTTTTAGGGACTCATCGTAAGAATTGCACCCCCTGATGGACTAACCTTGCTTTCTAGTGTGAGAGTATAAACCAATTCCCTAACACCCACATGGGTCTGCTCTTCAATGCGGGAGGATAAACTCTACACTTCGAATATCTAGACGTGGATGAGTCGGGCTGCCATAGGGTAACTAGATGCACAATGGCTTGTGCCGAGATTCTTGGAAGTAGTCACAATGGTCTTTTTCAAGGCTTAGCTAACTGAAAGATTTTGGGTATCTTGGCCTAATCTGTGGGGAACTGGGCCTCAGAGGTAGAGGAGGCACATTACGCAGTACGCCCTATGGACGGCTGTCCTAGAACCCTAAAGCTGCTACTGAGTGTACTAAGGTAGCCTACGGTTTCCAGAAGGCTACCTATGGCTTGCCCTTCGAGCAGTAAGCCGCACTAAATTTATACAATCGCACATTTTTTTGTGAAAGGTTAAACAAGTTAGCTTGCATATATGAAGCTGTATCCACTGTTGACATGCTATGTAGTCGATAAATAGGTTAAACAAGTTGTTGTGATACTTGCTACGCAACCCACATAATTGGTTACATAAAAGCAAGGAGTTCTCTCGGACCTTTGCTTACGAAATACATATAACCGCGTATTTTTTATACGAAAGGTTAGCGAATTTCATGACCCAAAAATCTTTAGTATGTTGTAATGCAGGCCACACAGCTAAAATGATTGAAGAAAGCCAAGGTTAACAACTAAGTGGTCTCGTGGACTCGTTTACTTCTGTAAGTAAAGCGTTCGGCTGACGACCCTATGGCTAACAACTTTGCAAAGTTCTATACCAACACTCACGACTGCATAGGCTATGTGGGCTTGTTTGCTTATAAAAAAGTAGCACGCTTGCCGCTGGTTTAAAAGTCAAAGGTTGGGCATGAATAAAAGAAGCAAAGATGGAGGAAAACAAAGGAAGTAAGTTTACTAAATTTTCTAGCAAAATTGATAAACAACTAGGAAAGTCCAAAAGAGTTCAAGCAAAGCAAAAAGTAACCAGGAAAACAAAGAAAATCCTAAAGACTACCTAGAAGACTACTTTTCAATAGCTTGGACATCCTACAACTACTCGGTCTCTATACTTTCAACAGCTACGACACTTTCAACAGCGGCACCATCCAGCGTTTCACCCCCGGTTGCTCCAGCTTAGGCACCAATTTCTCCAACTACTTCACCAATGGAAGCCTCGAAAGTAAAAGTAAGCAAGTCTTTCGAAGAAATAGAGAAGGTCTCGAAGTCTTTTCCAGCAAACTCAAAGTCAGATGGTCTACCAAAACGATGGTCTACATAATCCAGCTTATAGAATCAGTTTGACTCTTAGCAAGTAAAGTCTATAGCCCAGCCTTCTCACTCATTAGCTGCTCATTCTTTTCGAGCAAGCTGACACAGACGCGCTGCAGTTCATCCACTTTATTCTTCAGACTTTCGTTGTTCTTCAAAGCACCTGGCGTTTCAACACTTGGGGTTCAAGCCTATCCATGACCCTCTTAAAGTGGATGATTTGATTACAATCAGCAATCAACTCTTCATCCTTTGCATCAACTCTTCATCATTTGCATAAGCAACGAAGTGAAGCTCAGAGACGACACGCTTAAGATCTTGAATTTGAGGTATGTAACATCCAATCTCATTCTTTGCAATTTCATACTTAACCTGGATCGCGTCAAGCCTAGTCTTTAAATCCATGATCTTTTGGCAAGCAGTCTCAAGCTGCAAAGAAGTGAGGGCAGAGATAGTAGACCCCTTCAAAGCAGCAAGCTTAGATTCCAACCTCTTGGTCTTCTCGACCGAAGAATAGGCCTTGGCTGCCATAGTCTTTGCCACCCCTTTGGTAGCCTTGGTATTCTCTGGTTAATGAGCATAGACTTGGCTGCCAGAATTGTCGTTTTCTGCATCATAGCAAGTAGAGCAGTCATCCTATACTCAGTCATATGCTTCACAAAAGAACTTAGGTAGACAACCCCTTTAATGCTATCAACAAACTTGGCATACACATCCATGTCTTCAAGAAGATCTGGCTTCAAGACTGCACAAATCTCAGCAGCTTCCCCGGAAACAGGCTTGGTGGATTTCTCACAACTGCCCAAATGAGTAGTCTCATTCTTCTCAGTAGGTGAATTAGTCTCAGTAGCAAGATGAGTGGGTTTTGGCACCATTTTTGCAGCAGAGTCCACCTTATTGCTCTTCATAGTAGCAAGTCTTTCCAA